TATACATCATTAAATTATTATTACATTACAATACATCATTAAATTATTATTACATTACAATATATACATCATTAAATTATTATTACATTACAATACATCATTAAATTATTATTACATTACCATACATCATTACATTATACATCATAACATTTCCTTTTGCAAGAATCATTTTTTGACGTTCATTTATTTTCCTTTATCTTCTCCAGGGGAGAAAAAAACAGAAGAAAAAAATGGCGGACAACGCGTCGAACAGGGATCGATAGGTGAACTACGATCAAGTTCGTGGAACATTATAGGTCTAGTACTTGTTTTATCTTCACTTTCCACGCTCGCGAGAGGCCCCGCTCAATTTATTCGCTCCCCATACTCCTCCCCGTATGTCTTTCCGTACGAACGTACGTACGTATACGAGCGAAATGTGATGACGCTCTCGTGGCCATAAAAATGGCGGTAACGATCGTGAAAAAAGAGGCGCCTTGCGGCGCGTATACGCAACCTCGGCGGGTGGTAATGTACACGAGATCGGGGAAGGTGGAAGAGAGAGAGAGGGGGGAGAGAGAGATTGAGAGCGAAAGGAGGAGAGCGAAAGAGAGAGGGGGTAGGCAGAAAAAAATNGTGCGTGTGCGTGTGCGTGCGCGTGCGCGTGCGCGCGCGCGTGTGTGTGTGTGTGTGTCTGTGTCTGTGTGCGTGTATGTGAGTGTGCGTGTGCCTGCGTGTGCGTGTGCGCGTGCGTGTGTGTGGGTGTGCGTGTGCGCACCCGTGTATCTATGTGTGTATGCCCTTGCACGCGCGCGCGCGCGTGCGTGTGTGTACATGTGCGTGCACACGTGTTAGCGTACATGCGGTGTTTATCATACAGAATAAATGGCAAAAACATCGATTGCGATTCATCTCTTTCGACAACAAAGTAAAGATAGAGAGGTAATCCAATAACCCAAACCTAACCAGTAATTTATTGTGTTACACGAAGCACTATGTGATCATTTCTTATCAAGGTAAGACGCACGCACGCTGCGTGCGTGCGTGTGTGTGCGTGCGGGCGTGCGTGCGGGTGTGCGTGCGTGCGTGCGTGCGTGCGTGCGTGCGTGTGTGCGTGCGTGCGTTAAGTCATCGTCGAGGTTCGCTGGCGACGGCGAATGGATCTACTCACATTATATAATACATCATTAAATTATTATTACATTACAATACATCATTAAATTATTATTACATTACAA